AAAAGCAGATGAAATTTGCCAGTTTTTTCGTCACGCTGTAGAAAATGTTACGTTAGCGATGTACACGCACGTGAACGGTGTTTGCAAGTCGGACAGGTGCGATCGCGACAACGCAAAACTCGCGGCTCGATGCACATTCCATTTCGTTACGTGCTCGTCGTACGTAAACGCTGGTTGCGCGACATAGCACGATGGATGTGTCGTTTTTTTTTACCCAGCGTGCTTTCATTCCTCGATCTTTCAACGACACGTATGTGTGCGTGTTCTTTTTTTTTCTCCGTCGACACGACAGGGAATGTGTGCGTCTTGGAAACGGATCTCTCTTGAGATACTCTCGCGGATACTCGAGCTACTTTTCCACCGGTAATGCGCTTAGACGGTCTTCGATACGCGAACAGAGCCGTGGATTGTTCTCCAACGTTCCGTTTATACAATGGAAACATTTACGAATCGATCTCTGGAGTTTCCGCGGACACGTTCGTTACTGTTCGTATTTCTGATAATCAGCTTGCTTCGGAATATTCCGTTGACCCACGTATTTTCGAAGAATGAAGTCGAAATGATTTCGTATTTTAAAATTATTAAAATTATAATAGTGCTTTTAGGTGGGTTCTAGGTTGACCTTTAATTTACTGTACACTTTACGTTGTACTATATTATACTAAATTATAGTATTTGTTATGTATATTATTATATTATACAATTTAATTTAGTGGATATTTCATGGTTGCAGTTCTAGTGTTAATTGCACTCTGAGAAACCGATCGCACGAATACTGTTTAGAGTGTATAAAGTGTTGAGTATAACTGGGCCGTTTATTTTGAAAGTGTTGTAAGTCCATTTTTTGAAAAAGGAAAATTTGCGTACACTTAAATATGAACTGTTTATTTATAAACAATTTATAGTTTGAATCTTAAAATATTCGTTTGTATTTATAAATAAAAGTCGATTAAAGCATAACATTTCCTGTGCAACGATCTAATAGAATGCACGAATGGAATATTCTGCGCCAGCACAGAGATGCACAATTTCCTGAATTCAGGCTAAAGAGCGTTCGAGCTCAATTTGTCGACGCAATGGTCGCTCGGTTTTTTGTTTTGTTTGCAGGCACCAGCCGCAGCGTAACAGCTATTTCCCGTTTACGCGAGATTTTTCATTCCATCGGTTCCGATTGCCTTACCGGTTCTCTTCGTGCGAGACGAGACGCGCAAAAACGACAGGGAACGACGCACGTTCACGGGAATGACGAGCGTTTTCTGTGATACACGCGTGTCTACCGAGTACGACAGAATTTGCCTGTGACGGTGATCCACGTGGTCGATACGAAATAAATTGGCCTGTCAAGGTCACCAATAGGATTTATCTATCGAACACGCGTGTCATCGACGATTTTTATAACATATTATATATCCAATATATCATATTTGTATTAATAGAAAGTTACAGAAACTAGGAACCTTACTCAACCCTTTCGTTCCCAAATTATTTGAAAATTACCAAAAAAATATTTTACACCATTTTTTTCGGTTACCGAAGGCGAATACAACATATTTGTATTAATACAGAGTTAAAGAACAGGAATTTCAGCAACTGTATAATTATAAACAGAGTTCGCCACGGTTGATTCAATTCGGCCAGATACGCGTGACAAACGAGTAGTATATTACGTACGTGAAGCTCCGATAACTCTGACGAGACCTCTCTGGCGACAAGCTCCGAGAGCGTGGATGATCCACCCAGCCGGTGGGTGCCATCTCCTCTTCATTGGCCTAGTTCGGGACCGAACAATTGATTCGCGTCGTCGGGCATTATTTCCAAGTCAAATCGGTCTCTTATGCTAGACCCCAATGAAAAATCGGAATTGGAGCGAACGGCCGTGATTGCCTTCTTGCCCCGCTGTACAAGTGTAATAACGTCGATCTAACTGACAGCGCGGTTTGGTGAACGATTCAGATCAGCCAGACGGACTAAAAAACGTCTTCTGGTTAACCGTTTAACTGATCTGTACATGTATATTCGTGAAACTGGCCGCCGAAACGCAAGAAATATAGGTGAATAAATGATACTAATAATTAGACTCCACATTTTTATGCAGAACCACATAGTCGTCACTATCACCAACATTTAACCCTCCGTGAGCCCCCTGGGTCTTTTCTGACGCAAGCGAAATTTCGGGCTTAAATATTTTCGAAACGAAGAGGTTGTTATTTAAAACAATCTTTTAATATTCAACTTTAAAAAATATTGTACCATGTAGTAGAGACTCTTGAAAAGTATCCCTCATTTTTTCAGATTTTTCGGAAGCATATAAGATAAAAAAAAACAGGTTTGGACGTAAAAGACCCAGGGGGTGACGGAAGCAGTAAAAATAAGGGCGGTCATGGAGGGTTAAGTCACTGTCCATTTCCTTACCATCACTTTCACTGTTCGTATTGTTACATGAGAATGTTTCTTCGTCACCTTCTGTCGACGACAACCGTAGTCAGAAGGGTTAAAGAGGGGGAAGAACACTGCTCCCTGGTGAAATTCTTCACGATCCAAAAGGAACAAGAGGAGGAGCAAACAATGGTCTATCTCAGGGGGATGACAGGCGATAAATTGCTACAGCTAACTCATTCGGGCGCGCGTGTTAATGTGGCGTAAGACAGTTCCCTAGCGGTAGAAGTAACAGACGTTTCCATGAAACGCGTGTAACCTTCTCTTGTGCCGTTAAACGCGAGTTACTTTTATGGCTGAACTTATCGTAACTAATTATCCTCGTTGGAAACGATATTCTAGGAACACACTTGGACCCTGAATACTTTCGACACGAAGCACGGTATTTCCATACACCGTTGCCTACTCCGTTAATTTATTCGAATTCCATAAATCTCTGCATTTTCGTTCCACAGAAGTCCCACTGCCTCCAGGGAATTTTGTTCATATATGGAACTCTGTCGCGACTTATTCACGATAAACTCGCGACTCGCCCACTGCTCGTCGATAAATTAATTGACTGTGGATTGTATGCATTTATAGCATAAAGGGGTATGTGAAATACAATAGAAGACAAAACTTCCATCGTGTTTAAAATATTTCTCATTTTATTCATAGCATAAAGGGGCATGTGAAATATTTTTAACGCAATAAAATCCCTAGGAGGAAAAAAAGTCTTTCTGTTTCATTCTGCCTTTGTAAATTACTGTATAAAATGTTATTTTACACAAATATCCACAGTCTACAAATTAATAGCGCGGAGCTCGTGGGAACTTGGTAGCACACTCAACTTAAAATTCAATAAATGTAAGAAATACGATGTCTGTGTTTTTCAAATTTTACTTTTCAATTACGTATATTATAGTATTATTCAGTGGTAGTGAAAAAGAAGGAACTGCTAAACTATCGAGTGTTAGCGCTAAAAAAAGGAAAAATGAATATATCGTTATGTTTGTGTTTCGTTTAGCTACGGTTTATCAAGATTTATGCAGAAATTTTTATGAGACCAGTTCTCGAAACAAAATATTCATCTTAAAAAAAAATCAGCGCTTCAAGTTTCGAGAGTTTCGAAATCTTACAGCGTTTCTGATTCGAGTTTCGAACATTTAAAAATTATGGATCTAACCCACCAGTATTTTTCATTATGTAAAAAGCTGAATTCCCGTGGTTATGATGAACCATACTGAAATCAGACGTGATATGCGTCGACGTAAATCAGATCGATACCCAAGGATCGGAGAGGAACCTGTCGGTCGCGTTAACCGCGCGGAGACACATTAATTCAGACAGCGAAAGGGAAATATTTCTCGACGTTTCGACCCCGCGTGAACCGTCGGCGGGACGTGTGCCTCCGCGCGTTCATTTAAATTTCATATTTTCGTCATTCTAACTAGCGCGATCTCAATTGCAAATCACCGGTCCTACAGGAGCCGTATGTACGAGGATTTAATGAGCTACGGCGCGTCCCCGGAGGCGGCTGAAACTTCCGTTCGGAAACGTTCGTGAAACTCGGCAGCGAAAAATCGAGCCTGGAATCCTAAACAGCGTTGAAATGACTTTAGCCGTGCCAGAGTCGACTTTTATTCGTTATCCCGATCGAAATTTCAACGATTTTCAATTCAAGGAGAAGAAAGTTGATCGAGAAAGGTGACGGAATTTCGCAATCTGTATCCAATTTCGATATTATACTAAAGTCTCGATAACTGCACGGAAAGATCTCTACGTTAAATACTTATGGGTCATTCCTACTACTGGAGAGTTCCACGCAGGAAGATACCTGCGATTTCTGTGATCATCCTCGATTAATCGAGGATTGACATTTAATTTATGGATTCGCACGATTGGTAATATAACGATATCTAGGGGAATATGAATAAAATGGTACTCACCTTTACCGCAAGATACGTCGTTTAGGATCGTTGTTGCTCTACCGTTAACCGCTGTTCTTATGAATCTTCATGGTCGAGATGTCACGGGGTTACTATTTGGGAGTCGCTCCAAGAGACTTCACCACCTGAAAACCCAGAATTTTCCCTGTTACCAAGAGATCGAGCAATTTCTCGAAAATAAATAATACAGCTTACGAAAAATTCGATCCTGATTGAATTTTCTTTGGAAAATTCACATTCTCGAATCTCTTTTCCCACCAAGCCGATACCTCCAACATCACGAAGAGATCTTCTGGTTCTAGTTTATGGATGCGTCTGAAAGTGTCGATAACGCGTGTTATAATAGTTGTGGTTCAATACGGACACGCGACGATTTCGCCCGAGAGATCTCTATCCACACACATACACGGTTTTGAATAATTCATATCGCGTGCACCCGACCCTATATAACCGAGGAACGATGTAAACATTTCGTTGTGGACAAAGTTTTCGTGAGCGGCCCAGCCAATCCTGAACAAATTGTTTCCAACATCTGAACGAAACAACTCGTCAGACAAACGTATAATTATTTGTTCGATCATCGTGTGATTAGTTACAGAATACCCTGTTTTAAGAAACGAATCGTTTTGGTTTCAGGCACAACGCGGTGGACGAAGAGTCGCCAGGATCTATCCCGAAGTCTCTGACGGTTCCCCAGGACTCCAGAGACTGTTCCCCGTTAGACAGTTCGGGGAGCATCGTTTTTCCATTAGACGCTGGCTCGACCGTCGAGCACTTTTCCTCCGCTGAAAGATTCGATCCAAGCAAACAGTTCCCTTTAGAGACCAGTTTCCATTATTCGTCGGAGTGTTCGCTGAATTTCGGGATAAAAGTTCAAGACTCGCGATTCACGCGACAGGAAACATCGTTGAACAGACAGGAGACCGTTGCAAGGAGATCTGTGGGTGGTTCAAAGTCGAGGGATCGTGTGTCAAAAAGATCCTGCGATGTGGACGATAAGGTGACCATCAGGCTAACCTCCGAGGAGTCGTCAACACTGAGAACGAAGGATCGCGAGGATTCGTCGAGGATTCCGTCCAGTCCCGAGGAGCTCCCTAATCAGGAGATCGTCGAGGTCAGAAAGGACAGCGCCCTGTTTCTCGAGGAGGCGGAAGGTTTGCCGACTCTTCGCGAGATCCTGAAATCCCGAGGACCAAGGATCATCAGACCTAGGCGGGAGAGCAGCGGATACGCGAGCAATCTGGGCACATTTGACGAGGACAGACGTAGCTCCTATTCCACGGACGTTCTGCAAGATCTGTCCTCGTTCCTGAAGGAAAGACGGAGATCGTCCATCGGGCCGAAACGCTTGAACTCACGACTGATTGTCAGCAAGGCGGACGAAAGCCTGACAGAGGAGGTAGACTCGGTCGTGGACAGGATGCCGACCACGGAGGTGCACAGAAAGCTGTCGAACGCGGGACTAGAGATGCCGAATATCGACGAGATGAAAGAATTGCTCAGGGATGAAGTGTCATCCAAGCAGGAAGGCTTGGATAGCCTGTGTAACCTCGTGGAACAGGTTAGCGTCGGTGAGTATCCTGGGATCTGGCTCTGTGCAAAAGTGGACCGGGTGGGTTATAGTTTCAATCCATGTCTACTATCGAACTGTGGTAGTTGAAGATTGTTCGAAGGAAGTTCGATATGGCCAGTGGGTTAGAAAATCGGGGTGCTGAAAGTTAAGTCCAATGTAGCCGCGTAATTGGAAGATAATTGGGTGTTGGGTTCTGTTCTTTGTTGATTAATCCTGCTACGACCTTCGGGTCTCTTTTTAGTCCTTCACTCGTTGTTTTTTCTTTTTTCTGACAATCTTCCATTTGGAGATCCATTAAAGAAAGGGTTAAGAAGTTATTTCCTTCTTCCAGAGGAGCTGTCTGTGCACCGTCATCCAGAAGAGACACCTGATCGGGGTGTTTCGCCGAAATTCGACACCGAGGTCCTTGACGTACCAAAGGCATCCGCCACGTCGGGATACCAAGATCCATTTACAGACATCAGTGTCATCCCTCTGAGTAGAGCGATTGATCGACCCTCGACGCGTTCAACGTCTAGGAGTGCTTTAAACCGAATTGTCTGTCAGCGAGTTCCGTCATCGTCGAGCTCGAGTAGTCGAAATACCTCAGATCAACCGGATCGGATAGGCGATCGATCGAGCTTGACCATCAACATCGATGAGATCAGGCCTATGGTCGACGAGATCCGGGTCGTGGAAGATCCAGCGGACAGATTATCGTTGGGAGACAACAGGAATAGCGAGACTGGCCAGCCAGAGGATGATCAATCGGAGGTTCTTCCTCGAACTATCAAGGTGTACCAACTATTGTCCACCCAATCGGAGGATAGAACCGATAGAGAAGTATACTTAGCGGACAGAAGGATATCACTGCAGATATCGAAACAGAACGATGTCCCCGAGTCTATAATAATGTCCGGTGGGTCCAACGACGACCTGTCCACGCAAGCGGGAAATACCCTAACGTTGACCACCAGTGTCTCCAATGACACAGGAACCCGACTATTCGCTGAAATCACCGATGACACCCTCACGAACAAAGTCTCCACACCCAACGATATAGGAACGAATCAGAAGTTTCTAGGGGATAATTATTCTGGCGCCAGTGTGAGGCCTATTTATCCTTACTGTCCGTACTCCCCTTATGGTAGTCCTCAAGGGTCACCCAGGAACAGGAGAAGACCTCTCAGGGAGAGCAGGAGGGTCTCGATCGACAACAGGCAAGGTGCTTTGCAGCTGAACCAGTACAAACTCCTGGATAATATTGGCCAGGTGAGTAATCAAGAGATTTTGTTCCTGATAAACAATCCAAAACAGTCTCTGACACGTTCAAACTTTCAAACTCACGTGATTTCCTGAGAGACAGACACCTCACCAACCCACAAATATCATTGGCTTCAGAATTCTCAGCTTTATCGCAGTGCTAAACTGGGAACCTCTCCTTGTCAGAACTACCTTCTACGAGCGTGGGTGGTCTGCTTTTAATTAGCCAACGCGTACAATTCCATCCACGGTGTTCGGTCTGTGAAAATTAGCTGGAGAGGAAGTAAATGGATAGAGATACGAAGTTCCAAAAAGTTTCATTCGTGAGGCGAATACTAGAAACAGCTTTAGCCGAGGCGATAGCAGGCTTCTTCTTGTTTTTTTTTTTTATTTTTGCCAAGAACGTAGTTTCGAGCTTTCAAGTTCCGCGTCGACAATTCAATCTTCTCTGATCGCGTCTTTTCCAACTACGCTCAAACTTGAAATTAAATCGTCGCCGCCACCTGGACCGACCAATGGAAACGATGGAAATTCATTTCTTTCGATCGCGCCTGTGCCTCGATTCGTCAAGTCAGTTACGCAGCGACGACGGTATCGTTTCGTTTCTCCTTGTGGATCACGCTTGGAACGCACGAACGATCAAAGAGGCTTGATTAGAGACAGAAAATTATTGTGTTTTCCGTGTCTCGAGATACTTCGAACTTTCTGTTGGTGCACGATCTACGAAATAATCAGGCCTCTAGCAGTCGAAAATAAACTCTAATAACAGGTGGTGCGGGATAAGGGTTGGAGCCGAGGAAGTAATTTAGAGCTGCCTTTTACGAACGTCGACAGAAGTATAAATAGTTCGGTGGAGCATGATAATGTTGTAAACTATGAAATTACCACGACGAGACTCGATGAATCACGATGACCTTCGTAACAAGCTCCACTCCTAGTTCGTTCGAGCCCTTGTATCTTGATCACGATGGAACCGGAGAGGGTGATCCAGCGAATAATTAAGCAGTAAAAACTAACCGATACGATGCAATCACTTTAACACAGTTTTAATCGTATCCACGATCTATAGTCGTGAACGAAGTTATTGGGTTGTTAAGTTCGTAGCAATCTAAGGGTACAGTTACAATCTACCATTTTCAAGTCATATCAAATTCTTACCACTTTTCTTTTCTAGAATTTCTTTCCATTTTCATAAAATATTCCACTAAAAAAAAAGTAACGAAGGCACTATACCTCGAAACGTCACGAACGTTCCGATCGACCCGATATTTTATTATTTCACACGAAAATATCCGACCTCACAGCTCGGAGAAAGAAAAGAGGGCAATGTTCTGCGTCCCATAGTCTTGGAGAACCACTATTCAGACCGTTCCTATTTCCTTGTGCCGGCAGGGCTCTTACGGTATCGTGAAATTGGTTTACAACGAGGAGGACGAGACCCACTATGCGATGAAGATCCTCAGCAAGAGGAAGCTGATGAAAAAAGCGGGCATCTTCGGTAGAATGGCCCCGGGAAGAAAGGGCCCAGCGGACCCGTTGGCGAAGGTCTACAGGGAGATCGCGCTACTGAAAAAATTGGATCACCCGAACGTCGTGAAGCTGGTCGAGGTGCTCGACGATCCGGACGAGGACAATCTGTATCTTGTCTTCGAGCTGGTCCAACGGGGCGAGATACTACAGATTCCGGCGGAGAAACCGTTGGACGAGGAAACAGCCAGACTGAACTTCCGTGACGTCGTGATGGGCGTGGAATATCGTAAGTGGCCCCCAAAACATTTCGATAAATCGATATATAGGGTGAGTCAATAGGAACTATTATCTAAAATAGCTCGTTATCTTTTGGTTATATCAGAGAACATTTTAATGAATTCTGTAACATTTTACAACAATTGATACAATTTGAGGTTTTCTTATATCTTATTTTGTTCAAAATATCAAGGTGACCCGGAGTTTTTTCAAGGTCAGTGCATTGTTTTTAATACCACATTGTTGCCAATAGAAGGACGAATTTATTTATGGTATTAGAAAAAAGATGCATTGATCTTGATGAAACTCAAGGTCATCTTGATATCTAAAACATGTAAAATATAATGAAATCAAATTCGTCAGATGTTTCCTTTAAAATACCTTTTCGGCCCTGAGTACTACGGCTAGAACCTTTTTTTTTTGTTTCACCCTGTATATCAGATTTCATAATTTTGAAATAACGATTTAAAGGTCTGGCCGTTAAAAGGTTAACATAAAGCCAAGTCAACGTAAACGGTTTTTTCTACGCTCCATTTCGATACCACGAAAGACAACTATCCCCGATGATTTTCGTATAAAAATGTTTACGGTTACGCGAATCTGAATCTTTACCTGTACTTTTAAAAAACTTACCCCTAAACTATTCGAGCTTTTCCATGTTTCGAGACGCGACAGTAGCGTTCCCCATCTTTGGAATCTGATTTCGTTTCAGTACACTACCAGAGAATAGTGCATCGCGACATAAAACCGAGCAACCTGCTCGTAGACAGCGACGGACGGATCAAGATCGCTGATCTAGGGGTCAGCGCGGAATTGAGGGCGTCCGGAGAATTATTGTCTGGACCAGCCGGTACACCGGCGTTCGCGGCCCCCGAAACAACAACACCTGGCGCCCATTATTCCGGAACCGTGAGTACCTACCGCTGTGTAAGACGATCTGCTCGATCGATTTCCCATTTTCACGTCCCTGTTCGTAGGTTGGCGTTCGTCGAATCGAAAAAAAGAAAATTCGTCGAACAAAGCACAGACTAGAGAAATACAATATTTCCTCTCTTCGTGCTCGACTAATTCCACGATCGTTAATATACTCAAGGGATTCTGTTGCTGTATCAAATTCCCGTTAGAAACATGAATTATCGTCAATTAGCCCGAGATCAGGCGTGCATACGTTGCAATTATACACGGCTTATGTTCCGGGGTCAATTGAAACGTTTCGCCGAAGGGAATACTAATGGCGGCCCTGTTCCTCGATACGTTGCGAAATTACCTAGTTCGCCGACAAGCACTGACTAATCTGAATATTTTAAAGCCTAAATTAATAAATACACGCTGGAGTATATGTATAAATAATTCTGATTCAATCTCTGTTAACACCGTGAATTTTAATCAGAACAAACGGCGACATCACGGACTTGACGATGAACGCGCGGAAAGTTCACCTTACTGAACAGTTTACGCCAATTATATGTGGACTTGGTTATTGATTTTCACTTTCGCAAGCAAACGGTTCCCCTAGGTCGGGTTATTGCGTTCATTGACGGGTCGGTTCCGGCCTTGTCTATGGACGGTAACGTTTAAATCAATTAATCAACTTGACTCACGGTATTAATCATACGCCCAAATAATTTCGTGCCGAGGTAGCTTAAATACCAACCGATTTACCGATCAGAAAGCCAGGAAAGTACTATAGACCCTAACAATAGGATATATACGATGCAATATAAATATTTCCAATGAGTATGTGGTACACGTTCTCTTCTTTATGCCCTTTCGAAACTAAATCGCTCGGAACAGTTTCAAGGATACCAGCATTCGTGCTTCTAAATCACTTAATCGCTTCAATTTGCATCTAAATACAGTTAACTACTCCGTGTTTGGTCGTTTTTCCAGTTTCTTAATCCTTATCGCCGTCTGCCGTGGCTCTTACGAATAAATTCAAAGAAAACGAGAATCAAGTGACTCGATTTCTCTAGATCGAAACTGCAATTTTCGCCGATTGTTCTGTAGATACTCTCGATCCAACGACACGGCGATAGAGTGACACACAAACCGAAACTTTCCATCGAAAAGTTTCAGCGCACGCTTCACGTATATAAACGGTGCACCTAGGCGAAAACTTATGAAACTAGTCGCACACCTCGGGGTAACCGACATCGATTTCTTCAGGGTATCGTGAAATATGCAGGTGAACTTGAGGGCCACGGAAAGTTGCACACTCAGGAAATTGGGTTGCAGCTTGGCCAACAGTCTTCCCCCGCCCCTTCCGTTTGTTAAAATGTATATTAACCAGCGAATGAAAGTTTTCCCCCTCGTATCTATTCATAATTGATCGATACGAGTTTCTCGAGGCAAAAGACAGGTGCAGACCGAACGCGCTCACGTGACGTTATTCAAGAAGTTACAAGACAGTAGATAATTCCATATTAAATTAAAAACGCTAGCAGATACTTCAGATGACCACGACACCGTTTCGAGGAAAATGAAATTGACATTCGGACAGAAACAAATTCGGTTAAGATCCACGAAGATCGACACGGTACATCGTTTCGTTAAACAGAGAATTCTAACTGTATGCAATCTCCTGACAACCGGTAGACTCTCATAATTGATTCTCTACTTTGCAATTGAACAACAAACGTAATCAACACACTTGCAACGCGTTATTACGTCCGTCTGGCTCGACGAGCGCGGCTCCAAAAGGGTGTAATTTACCAGGGTAACCAACGTGATTCATCCTTGATTCATGTGTGTATGTGTATACATATATCATAGATCAGAGTCTAGAACTCGTCGTGTGACCTTATCGAGAACCCGGTCGATTCGGTGGTAAGACAGTTTTCCTTTGCGAAGAAGTTTATAAGCCCGACGCGACGGTCAATTTTAAAGGGTATTTGTTCAAGTTTACTTTTACGATCGATAAAGTAAATGCTGTACCGTCAGCCCCGACAGGATCCTCCATTAAGAGGCGCTGTCGCCACGAGGATTACCCTCCGTTGTTGCATCCCTCTTCGTTCTCTTCTTGTTATTGCCAAAGCTCGAAGAGTGGAATAGAGTTTCACTGATAATACACTGGTACCACGATCTATTCTCTATCGATCCTCCCCGTATGTTTCAGTTATGCGACGTATGGTCAATGGGAGTAACCCTGTACTCACTCGTGACCGGAAGAGTACCCTGGGACGGTGCTGGTAGCATAATCGGCGTCCAAGCGGCGGTCCGTACCGAGCCCTTGAAATTCCCAGACGAACCTTCTCTCACGGACGATCTTCGTGGACTGATCTCGCAAATGCTGGCCAAGAATCCCGCCGACAGGATCCCGTTGGCAGGTATAAAGGTCCACGACTGGCTGACCAAACGCAGTGCCGAACCACTGCCAACCGAGACCGACAATTGCCGGCTTCAGGTCACCGTCACAGACGAGGAGGTCGAACGTGTTGTCACCAGGATACCGAAGCTGGACACCTTGATTCTCATCAAGACGATGCTGAAGCAGCACAGTTTTCAAGTAACGAAATTTCCACGATTTTTAACACAGAAACAACATTTTCAACGGATCACAGCGATCAGAAACGTAATCCGTCTAATGGCCCGAGAGGATTGACTCGAAAGGTCTTCGTCAAGGACTGTCTTATTTAATCACGAACATACTTAAAGACTCACATCCCCCAGTTTACTCACAGTATTCGTTAAATCGTAGTTCTCAGTAAAATATTGTACACTCTAAAGTATTTGTTTACTTAATACAGTAAATAATCGATGAGTGTTCGAAGGCTCCTCGGCACTGAGTGTTCTGACGTCATGAAACTTAACCCAGAAACAAGTACCATTGGCTTCCGAGTTCCAAGCTCTATCAATGGTGCTAAACCTCATTAGAAAGTGAGCGTTACACCTGGAGGATCTCTCCTTGTCAGTACCGAGGAGCCTTCGAGCGCTGATCGATGATTTACTGTACTCCGTGGATCGTAACGAGATAACTCCTTGTCCGTTACCACGACAACAAACTTAATTCCGGCGAGAACTCTTCATCCGTCCAATTTCTGTTTAAAATGACAGTCTTCCTCCTCGATTCTCCGTCGCAAATCCGCAACGCCAGTGTCGACCGTAACTGAATCTCAATTACGGCCGATATTTGATCTCTCCTCCGTTTCGAGGATGGAGGTCAAGTCTTCCCGAGATCTTTCTTCTGGCGACACAGCCACTCGTGAACGGCTGTCGCGAGACGTGAAAGAGCTATCTCCCGGCGCCACGTCTACGGTGGTCTCGTTATTCGATGCGTGGGGCAATCGATATTCGCGTTCCAAGTTCAACGATGATGCTCTGGCACGCCCGATACGTGTGTTTTCTGGCTGTTTTTTTTTATTTCATTTAAAGAATGCTGTTTTTTTCTTTCGCAGAATCCATTTTTACCGAAGAAGAGCGGGAAAACGGTGTCCACCGAAGTGACGACCGATAGTCTAGAGTTGCCCTCGTCACCAAGGACTGAAGAGACTTCGGTGTCTGGAAAACCGGCCAGGAACTTGAAAACAGAACGATTTCAACGAACTGGACGAAGTAATTCTGCTCCAGACTCTTATGACTGGCAAACAAATGGCGGGTAAATGATCTTCTAACTGTTTGCTCGCGACTGGTGAACAGCGTCCAAGAGTGAATCACGTAGAAAGGGGCGGGGAAAGCTATCAGTTTTTTAAAGTTTGAACATCGCGTTTGTCCAATCCACAGGATATATCCGAGACTTGCTCTTGGAAGCGTTGCCTGCGTACTGTTGGTCTTTTGCAATTAAATTCGTTGAAAAACTCCGCTGTATCTTCCGTGTCCAATAGTAGTACAGTACTTTACTCGGTGCTGAGTGTTCAGACGCCATCTCCACAAGTGGACGCTTGACTGGTTCCACAGATAATCCTCCAAATGGTGGGGATAACGTCTGAACATTCAGTGCCGAGGAGCCTTCGAATACTTATCGATGATTTATTGTATATCACTTTATGATCAACCATTTGGAATCTTTCAATGTGGTTCATCCTGAAGCATGTTTCTTCATTTTTCAGGCAAATATCCATAGACAGTCCTCTGCCGCCTGTCACAGAAGCTTCCAGTCAAGAAACTGAAACGGAAAGGCGGTGATATTACCGAGAATCCAGGAGCAACGTCGTAGGAAACTGTTATCGTTCGATCGATCCAATAGACGAGGTACGAGGAAGAATTAAGAATCCAATTATCGATAAAAAAACACGTTATCCGTCGAAGTTGATTCAACACTGTCGACAATATTTCAGGTTGCGCCACGAGAATAATCAAAGATATGCAATTCTTCGCTCGTCCAATTTGCAATCGCGAGGGGTACAGCACCAGCTGTGAATTCGCCTTAAAACACTTCAAGAACGTACTTAGTCGATTCCTGAAACTTGAAAGTAACGACCGCACGGATGATATGGACGTTAGCGGGTCAATACGGTTGGCACAAACGGAGAGGAGCTTCATCTTAAGCGTTCCACTTCTGCGTGAAGTTAGACGAAGCAAAGCTTTAGAGCGTAGGCGTGTGGTTTTAAGCGAAAACAAACGCAGTCCTATGATAAGACCTAGGGATAAAGAAGATACGTGTTCGTTCCGGTTAATTCCTTCGGCTTGTCTCCACTTTTTAATCCCACGGTGCCATCGATTTAGCAGGGTCCAAACTACAGAGCATCGGAATTCGACGAAAGTAGGTTGGATCCGTGTCGCTTCTAGTCCTGTACGGGTCATCTTCGTTCGATGAACGTGGTTCCTTTCACCCGAACTTACATTCTGTCGTACACATTCTATCGGAAAGGTGTTCCTGAACTGACCTCCTGGCAATATGAATTTTTACACACGATTCCGACAATGTCACCAGCTTACAATTGCGTCCCTATATGATCGAGAAATAGTAAAGGCATGAAGGAATTAACCGGGAACCGCAAAGCCGTATGGCATTTTACTTACTAACTTTAGCTAGGTGATCCTGAGTAGGCGAACAGAATTAGCTGTATTTTGTATGCACGTTAGTCGTATCTTGTGAGGGGCTTGAAAAAGAAGCCTGTGAGACAACGACAACATTTATACATATATATTATAAATTCGCGTTAGCACGATCCGGGAGAAGAAGGATGATTTAATGCTTTTCGATCGTTCTGTGATGTAATTAAGCACTGTTTTCATACTTTTACATCCGGGGAGAATATTTTGTATCGACCATTTAAACTTGTTTCAATTCGAATATGTTAGTTTTTTCTTTTGTTTTGTTTATAAATCAACTGTACAGGGTCCAGCAACGAATGTCGAGCGAATATATCCACATCGGTCCGTTACTTTCTAGATACCCTGTACAGAAAAGAATTTCCAACGCGGAGCATATTTCGTTGCGTCCTGCACGGTTTCGGTTTAATGTGATATACACCGTGGTAAAGTCGTGTGATCGTGTACATTCTGGACTCAGTACAACGAAGTCACGTGATCCAGAAATCGCATGACCATTTTTGTAAATAATTAATTCCTATTTTATAGTCGAATTTATAGGCCCTAAGTGATTATATGTAAGCACGCGACCAAGCTACCGCAAACCAAAGTCAGACTCGTGATTTCGCTGGACTTTAACAGACATCCGGGGGACCATGGGAAACGTATTGAATAGAAACTCGATAGGTTTTCAACTTTACTACCGGATACTTCTGATTATCATATCTCGTTCCTGGCGAACTCATTCGGAAATTGGACTCGGAGGCGCAAAAAGTGGTACAAGATTTAATCCAGCCGAAACGAGGCAACACGATTTCCAATCTTATTTCTGCGTCACTACCGGTTAACTGTACATGCTTAGAGGCACTACAAGATAGAGGTGTCTACCGATGTTCTACTGAGTAGACCAAGTAGACATAAACTGGAATAATTTGGTACAATCTCTTTCATACCTATACAATTGTTAGAGCAACAGAAACATTGATGTATAAAACATCAAATCGGATGTTTTGGTTGTATCAATAGGGCTGTTGTGTCAACTTATTACGGGTACGTGTGTTATTCAGAAGACTAGAACCTTATACCCATGGTATTTCCAATGGTACATAACATTGTTGAGTGAGATTGCTATACAAATTCATTTCAAATATGTTTGTCAGCTTATGTCGAGTAATTAATCTAGCATGACTTCTTCTTGAAAATATTTTGTTTCAGAAACTTCAGTTAATTACTCTTTGCAACTCAAACATGGCTGTGTTTCCATGTATCGTACCTTTTACCACTATGAGTTATAGATAACATTGATTTGTACATTAAGATCACAACCGTAGTGATGATATGCATTCTTCAGAATAGTAAAAGACAGTAAAAGCAATATAAAACATGAAAATATTGGATATGTAGCAACACGAATGGTACAGCAATCTCAAGCAAATTTGTTCGTTACCTCTTGGAACTCCTCTTACACAGGGTCATGGACAAAAATTTGTCAGCATCTTAGGATTTACAACACTTCTGTCCATGAATGTATACAATATTGTCTTACAATACATAGGTGTTACTCACATTATACTCTTACAAAATGCACAAAATATTTTGTACCTTATACTAGATGCACACTATGTTTCTTAATCTATTGTACGATGGTAAAATTGTAAAATAGGCATTGTAAGGAAACTCAGCCCTCAATTGGCAATCAATTTGTGCAATTCAGTTGCAAGACTGGGGTCGTTTATGCAAATTCACGTATTTTATAGACTGATTTACAAAAATGAGAATGTAATAGAACACTTGTTTCTGTTGTTAAAGATTCCATCAAACAAAAGTAAACATACAAATTATCTATAATCTTATTCATGCATAAACTCTACAGTCTGCTGAATTTTACGGTTTAAATATATGAGAAAGTCCTACGTACCTATTTATTTCATAAAATATTTGGAGCATCTTTTCGGCGAGCAATCTTCGTGCAGGCACTCACGTCCGATTCTACCGCCAAAACCAAGAAGAAGATGATGTCGCCACTAGCGTCCTTCGCAATTTTTTATTCGCGAAAACAGATATGTTTACGTGTAAATCCACGGTCAAAATGATGTCAAGTTGATCATTGAATTCCCCTGAATCGATATTATACAGTAACCATTGGTAGCTATAAAGTTTTTAATTAATATTCGACTTTTTCTGTGATTAAATTCTATAGCCCGCCTTAGGGGATAAAGTGGAGCCATCTACGGCAGAATGTCCAAGCTATTAGCCAATTAGTCCCAGGTTACGTTTCCTAGATGACGTCACTACATCCTCTAGGGCGAGTTTCAATGACGATTTAAACATAAATTACAAATGTAACAAGCTGTAATTGTTTTAAGTACATTTATAATTTTTCCTTCTATTCCAATCTAAAAATTAATTCAGGGGATTTCAACGAGCAATCTACCCACAATAATTAAATTAGAACTGTAGAGTCGTTTGCGTAATGAATATATAGAAGAGGTCATCAACTTGGCCAATTGAGGGTTTAAGGTTTCAAAGATCGTCAAGAGATGAAGAGAAAGCGTTGACTGGACTAGTGACCAAAAGTCATTTCTCTCAAACCTAATATTGATTTTCTTCGACAATCAATCTCACCGATGATTTTTCGTTACTTACTTTGTCATAGGGAAAGGCAGTTGGTTAGTCAAATGGTACCGTTAATTCTCTACTGCCAGATTACCTTTTGATCAGTGAGAACGAAGCTGACGAGCGAAGTACTTTTACAACATCTCTTGCGTCTAAATAGTTTACCGTAGCCGACATACTTTCTATCCAGGTATCAGTCGGTTGTTAAATATAATTCCTTTTTACAATCTCTATAGGTCTACGATTTTCCTCTAGCTCGACTCCGAGCAACGAATCTATCGTTGTTGTTTCATTCTGTAATATTTTATCCGACGTTAGAATGTCCTTTTACCAATATTAACCATCTTTATAAAGTTTACGTGGTCGTGTATTTAATAATCGCCCAACCCTCGTCGAACAAATCATTTTACAAATAATTCTTCAATTAGATCCTTCCTTCCTCCCATCTGCCGTTTAGATTCCCAAACATCCTAAGCGACTTTGCCTCCAGTTTCGTTGGTTTGTGCCACTTGGATAAAATTTTCATCGCTAACTCGATACTGTCACCTACGAACAACACTGTCAGCGCAATCTTAAGTTAATCTTTAATCAACCGTTCAAACCTTTACGCGCCTTTTGTTTCCGACGGATAAATCTTCCGGTCAAACGTGAAAGGCTTCTCGACCTCTTCGAAAATTCTCTCGTTGATCTTGGTAACGTTCACCTTCGTGCCGTTACTAAGATCGTTACCGAGGACATCGAGGAAAATGGCCCATCGTGGCTTGTAATAATCCGCAATCATTCCCGACCATTGCTTGCATGCGTAGTCCCTGATTTCACCCCGTGGTCCCCATAATGTAATCTGATTTCTGGCATTGTACTCGTACAACAGTTTCTCCGCGTTATTCACGGCCAGATTTTTCGCGTCCCGTAACCACGTGCCCAGCAGAAAGTTTTTTCCAGAGGCCAGTATCGACTCCAAATCGTCGAAAAGTTCTAGCAACGATTCAGAATACGATCTAAAGCGAATGGAACAAAAAATGGTAACTGGTTAAAATGCCCCGGAGAGTGCACTATAACAAATCCAAAAAGAAATCAATCGATCGTTACCTGAAGGCAGTAATGTTTTGTTTGTCGAAAGATTCCATCAAGTCCACGTAAATATCGTCTGCTTTCAGCTGAAGAGCTTGCCTCGTTAGGTCCACCACGTCGTGACGATACAGGGTACTGTTCCTTCTTCCGACTCTCGCTTGCAAGAAAGTTTTCCACGTATGGAAAAACACGTCGGACTTGTACCAAGCCTAAAAAAACATAAGTTAATAAGAAAGCTTGAATAAATCTTACTCCAATTTTACGGAAAACGACGTAAGTACCCAAGGAGTCAGATTCATACTCGGACGTCGAGTGATCACGTAACGTCCACGTACACGTTTCAAGCCAGAGAAATTGTAAACAGTTCGTCCTAAACTTTTCCAAGCTGTGACGGCGAATTCGTTCCACGCGCCGTACCTCCGACTGGCATAGTTCTCGAACCTGAAGTATTCGTATCGGACGACAGTCGTGTGGAAGGAAGCATGATAAAAACAATTGTAATATTACCAATCGTCTAAATTGATAGACTCGCGGCGATAGGCCATCTCGTTCATTAGTTCGTAGATCACATAGTTCTGGTTTATTCCTTCGGGTGTTAAGCCTGTCCCCACCATTGTACTTCCCTTGGTGTTTCTTCCCTCGAGAACGCGCTGAGATAAAAGCGAAATGCAGTGAATCATCGATGAGTGTTTGAAAGCTCCTGAATGTTCAGACGTCATACCCACCACTGGGGAGAAGGTAGAACGAGTCAAGGGCCAAGTGGTGGGGATACCTGAACACTCAACGCTGAGAAGCCTTCGAACACTCATCGATGATTTACTGTATAACGAAAAGAGGTAAGAAAAAAGAATCAGTACCTCAATGTTTCGACTGAAAGCGGTTAATTCGAGGAATCGTTTGGACACATGTCCGTTTGTATTACAGGAAATAACGAACTATAAGTCATGCTCACGTGGTTAATAATGCTCGCAGAGCCAAACATGCCCAGTGTTCCGCCAAAGTTGTGAAGCATACACCAAATGAAAGGTTGACCGTAGTAGAAGTTGAATCTTGTGTACTCGGGGAGCTGTTCCGATTGAAGATCCAACACGATCATCCGTCCCTGAAATTAGCAACTATACATTCTGATCGGAAGTCGGAAATCTTTCTTCTTAGTTCCTAGTTCTCTATTTTATTTTCGACTATTTACAATTGGCACAGACGTCAGAAAAGCCTCCGCCCTGGGTTCGGTCCAGAACGTGTAGTCGTGGACGAACAACCAACCTTGCATTAACCTTGACCAATAAGTGCACTTTATTTTGTGTTGTATTTGTTTCCTAAATTAAAATGATAGTCTATCAAATTGTTAACGCCCCTACCATATTGCTTTGGGGTCAACGTTCTCCATAGCCTTGAAAACCGATTGTCCAATGTTCCTGAGGAACCTCAGCTCACTGGTGTACGGTTCGTTTTCATTGAAAGTGTCGCAATTGTAGACGTGGTCGGTACCAAACTCTTCGATATACTGTCGAACAGTGACGCTTGGTATTATACAATTAAGAAAAAAAAAAAAACAGTTGTCTTGTTTAACAATGATGTCCCCAAATTACCGTTTTCAAAAACTTCTCACCGATAGTCTGGAAGAGTGGATCCGTGGGCTCTAAGAGGTAGGGACTAAAAACGAGGATGCTTTTTTCTGTATCACAGGAGAAGCTTCGTGACGATTCGGTGAATCATTTTTGTGTATCACTTACCAACAATACTTATCTTCAAACTGATTCCAGGTGCCAAATTTAGTCACATTCGCCTTGGGAAATAGTCTTGTAATGGCTCTGGGCACGTGTCCTGCGAATGCTGGTAGAACAGGAACGATCCCTAAATCTCTCATTCTCTGGAGGATAAGATGCTGCAGACGGATCGATTTTTCGTGCCAGGCTCGAGTCAAAGGGCCACCGAAACCACGGATGTTGCCCATTCTAGCCCTGAAAAATCATCCTAAAATCACCATGAACGTACAAAGAGTATTTGCATAAGACCAATCGGGACAGCTTTACCAGGTCAAAAATGCTGGTCCCCCAAAGTGTCCATTGATCTCGTCCCTGGTGAAGTTTAATTCAAGGTATACACGTTCCCAGATTGCTTCTTGCCCGGTGAAAGCAAGCGCCAAATTGATCCCATTAAGGGCCATCCAGTCGATGTTTCGCTCCCATTCATCCCACTGCCACCAGGCTGAGCTGTAGCTTCCAGTGCAAACGTTTTGATAGTATCTGAATCTGTTGTGAATATAATGTTAGTTACAGAATCGATCGATACGGGTTGGTTCAGATGTGTAATGTTTAAGCAACCTGTCGTTCGATGTGACGTTCACACGAACATCTGGAAGAGTGTTCGGTAGCTCGAGCTGATCCCCATCCCATGATACGTGAACGTTGCAGTAGGTCTTCAGGTAGTAGTACAATCCCCAAGCTACAGCCACCCCGGAAGTGCCGGTGATCTCGATTTTTCCGAGTGAATTTTTTATTATCTAAAATGACACTATTATTATAATTCAGTTATTGGTTACTGGTTTATGTGAAAATCATCTCAAGCAATCAGAAAATCTTGTGAGCCCAGATAACGAATGCATCGCGTTCCCACTTTTTGTTGATACCAATTGAACGACGAAAAGGTAAGTGAATTACCGTGAAAGTATCTTTTCCAATGGGTCCTAGATCAGAGTTCACGATCATTACGAACAATTCGGCCCGATCCGCGCCCAGCAGTCTCGCAGCGACGCCCTTAGCCGCGTTCGCCTGCACTTCCAGCGGAGTCTGGGGTCTCAGGTGACCCAGCGTGTTCTGGAAAGCTGCAGAATATTCTAAAGTTTTATTCTTATTTTTGATGAAAGGAAAATCACTGTGGTAATAATCTCGATTATTATTTTGTTTAAAAGTTGTGAATAAAAATTTGTGTTCTTGTTGTTCTGGTCAATCAAAGAAGAAACTAAGAATATTATCTGGATTAATGTCAACTGTAGGTATGACGGTTGAAATAATTCACTTACCATCCTGCTTCGCGTGTTCACTGCGCACTACGACGATCACGAAAATTGCAAACGAGAACTTTAACAACGACATCACGGGCGATCGTCTCGCAATGACCGTTTCAGACTGTACGGCGGACGATAGAGAATTATAAAAGCACAATCCCTCCCTACTCCGACTACCATCTCCCCTTATCTGATGGAACCTCTGACCACTAACCGTCGCGATGGTTCGCAACGATGCAATTACATTTTCGACGAGACATCGCTATCGCCGAGACTTCGTGGACGGAGAATTGCTTCGGGTAAGTTTCTCGGGAGCTCCGTTATTTATCTGGGTAAACAGTTCAAGAGACTATGGGTAAATATTGAAGACACAGGACAATATTGTCGACGATAATCGTGCCGGTGATTATGAAAGTGGTGTAACTCAAAAAGAACAAAAGTATCGAGTAATTTTCTCTTAGTTTCTGTTACATCGATTTATATTTCCGATATTGCGAAAGAATTTTTCAATCGAAGATCACACGACTTATACATATACCACATTCGCAATCACCAGCACGTGTCTTTAATGTCAACCCTTTCGGATCTGGTGGCCACATTTGTGTACGTGAAGTTTCTTACAATATCACACAAATCCATATTTTTCTTATAAATTTGAATTTTTTCATGTTCTGAATGTTTTTAGTATGTCTAGTGAATTGAGAATTGAATAACCTTTTTTTTTTAAAAATAAAAACAATTTGTAAACAAATTATCATCTAAACAGTCTACTGAGTTAAAGTGTCTAATCAAATTTTTGTTACTCTTAAAAGAAAATTCAGGTCTGAAAATACTCAAACAATTTCCGTGCCTTTGGTTAAAAACGTTCATTTACGTGATATTGTTCATTCACTGCGAAAAATCCGTATTTTTTCTTTTCACTTTAAATTAATTATATTTTTCTATGTTTTCAGATTGAAATCTGTACATTTTAGAAAAAAGTATAGATATTAAGAAATGTAATTTTCATATGGCAAACATCTATATATGTCATTTAAAATTTGACTTTAGTAGTTACAAATGTGTTCATTCGTTTACCCTACACATTACCAACACATAGAGCGTTTCATTTCTTCTCCTTGATCGCCATGGAACGTCTTCCCCTCCCCCTTTTGCCACCTAAAAAGATTGTGCCAACAACACCACTGGGACTTGTATCAAAAAACGTACTTTATTTCACAACGAAAATCGAGTATCTAAATTACCCTAACGCTGAACACTTTGTTCGTTTTGGTGTCTAACGACAATAAATCGATCGTGAAAAAATTGTACATCGGTATTGTCGTCTCAGGAAGCATTATCACGGTATTGTATTATCGAACTGTCAACGATTCGACAGAATACATGAGTTTATCTAGTTTCGGAAGCGAAGACAGTGGGACGGGAGTTCTTATCGTTATTTAAAAATTCTATTCGGAGACGCCCCCTCGATGATTCAGTTCGACCGAATCATCGGGTATGTGGACAAACACGTCATCGCCGAGTTTCACTTTTCCGGGGATGTAAGCCCCACAGTATATTCCCATCAATGGTGCTTGTCCCTCCAGTGACATTATATTTGGATCCGTGGACTGGCGAAAACTAAAAGAAAAAAAGCAACATCAAAAAGTATGTAAAATAGTTTCAATTAAACGATCGATACGACGATTTTACAAACCTCTTCAATGTCTTTAATGGCTCCTCCCCCTCCGCGGTGCCTGTCTCAGGGTTCACTAGAATGAATTTGCACCTGGAACAATATAGCAACGATTCTAGAATCTTGAAATAACGATGGATCAGTTCGTCAGAATGCTAATTTTCCTAACCCTTCATGATCTCAGTTACTTCTATTGTTTCCGTCAACCAACTTTTTTCACATTCTATTGCAAAAAATCTGACAAAATTAGAGACACTTCCTAGAGTCTCTGCTACACGATCTAATTGTTTTTAAAGTTGAATGTTAAAAGGTTTTTTTTTCGACAGCAATACCTTTGTTTCGAAGATACTCGAGCGCAAAATTTCGCGTGTCCCATAAAAGAGCTAGGAAGCTCACAGAGAGGGTTAAATATCGAGATTCAGATGATGTTTTAAAGAAACTATCGACATAAATAATGTCCTAAATAGTCGAACAAAAATGTCCTGATAAAAATAAATTCCTTCGAACCTGGTGCACGGCTTGACGTTCCGAATCACCGTTTTCTCGCCGATTTTTATCCATTCCCAGTTGTCCTCCTCAAAAGATTTCTCCGCGGAGACCACGATATTCGGACGGAATTGTAGCGCAGGCACAGGTATCTCCAGTTTCTCGTTCAGCGTCTTCAGTGACGCTGTGGTCATCAGCATATAACTCGCCAGATCGCTGAACAAACCCTAAAACGATATCCCTGTCGTTTATCGAATTATGGAAATCACCGAATTAAACCTTAATTGCTCTGATCCTTACAGTGTCATCGGATTGTAGGGTGCTGAACACTTTCGTGAACTTGTTCCATGGATCGATCGAAAGATCCCGTCGGTTCATCATGGAGTAGCCCAGTCGCAAACCAGAATTCGTCCCGGTCAAAAATCTGAAAAAAATTTTCGTTTCATTTCCGTTAAAGAAATTGCGGTAAATATTTAGAATAGAGGAGACAACTCTGATGACCTTGACACGTATTGTCAAGATCTCCCTCTTCAGTGACCTTGACAAGGTTTCAGCCATCACTCTTTGTTTTGTTAAAAAGTTAATAACAAATAAACTTCGTAGAATAGGGTTGTATATTCAACTTCATAATTTAAACTTTACATAGTAACATTATATTATTAGCATATCTGCTTCTTTAAGAGATCGCGTGGGGTGGGGTGGCTCCCCTCTTCCCCCGCACTCTCGCCAAGGAAAAGAATCTAACCCAAACCTAATTCGACTTATTTTCCGATTAAATGAAAATGAGTATACTAACAATATAATGTTTATACTATTTAGGTAAGATTTAAATTATCGTCTTAATAATATACCTTTATATTACGGGCTTTATTTGTTAACTTTTTCAAGGTCATTCAGAAATGTGACATTTCTTGCATATGTCAAGGTCATCGGAGCTACCTCCTCTATTCTAAATATTTACCGAAATTATGTTAAGTTCGTTCAAGCGGTCTTCGTGTACCTCGAGAGCCATTCGGCCGGTTCTGGTCCGCAATCGATACACTTTACCGGTTCACCCCACCACATAGTGCACGGAACGGCTTCTGAACCCTCGTCGATGGATTTCGGCACGGTGAACACCACGCTGGGCATCCCTACGGCTTCGAGTCGCACTTTATCCTCTTCCACCGCCGACATGCTCACCAGGATCATCGTTGGGTACTGTCTACCGGTCTGGAAGCGACCTGTCTCTTCGTTGTACACTAGAAACATTCTGAGGAACAGTGAACGTTCATCGTCAATAACAGTACGGGAAGGGGTTTCGGGTGAACTTTCGAAAAGCACCCACACCGGATGACCCTAACCTTGACAAATGTTATCAAGATCATCTTCCCGAATAAGCTCGAAAAGGTTTAAACAACCGATTATTGGTTACTAAAAAGTTATTACCAAAGAAATATTGAATAATGTACCGTAATTTTTTGAAAAATCTGAACGTTTGTAACGCAGCGTTTTTAGAAAATACTGTTCAAAGCATTATACTGATCTGAGTTGGTCAGAGACAGTTCAAGTACTTTTTTGTTCATAACATTTTAATAACTAATGATCGGTAGTTGAAACCTTTTGAAGGTTACTCGGGATGGTAACCTTGAAAACGTGTGCCAAGGCCAGGGGCGTCGGATGTAGGTGCTTCTTGGAAGTTCACCCAAAATATTATCAATGATTGATACAAATGAAATATTCTGTTAATTACTGAAGAAATTTTCCAATAGATGTACAGATCTTGTCTACGTTCTTCACACTACAGGATGTTAATGAGCGTTAACCAGCGGCAAAGCGTTAACGTCGAGTTTAAATGTAGGACGACAGAAAAATTTCTATCCAATAATTATACCGAAATTTAATTTACAAAATGTTTTTTCTTTACTGAAGGATTTCTCACCTGTCTCGAAGGGTGAATCGTCCTTCACTCTCGATGCTGATACCGAACTCGGTGAAATCGCATTCGTGCAGATTCCTCCCCCGTCCAGATTTCATTGGATAGACGTACAGTTCTTCGATCTGGCCCACTTTCACCCATTTTGGATCGGGTAACTCGGAAATCGTGTCATACTCGCGGCGGGCCAAGTCGACATTACGATTCGTCGCGTCGTTCTGTGAAATTTCGCCGATCTTCGACTCGTTCCCGCTCGGTTGGACCTTCTTGCACACTGCCGAAGAATTCCTCCGCTTGTTCCACAGGACCACTGCGAGAACCGCCGCGAGACTGCATGTTATCGCCACGGTAGGCCGCCAATCCTGAATATAATAAAAATGTAAATTTTTATAATTATATGTAAATTATTAAATACAATCCTGAATTTACCAGTAATAATAACACAGTGACTGTTTATTTATAACAGTGAGTGTTTGTTTATCATGAAAATCGCAAGTGAAACGAAATATTAACGGGGATAATTTCTATTTTTCTATTTTCTATTCCGTTATTTGTTACTTTATCGATAATTACGCGTTTCTTTCTAAATAATCGTATCTTTCTGAATATATTTCTAGATACTTTTGTAATTTTTTCCTTTTTTCTTTGGTTGTTTATTTTTGTAATTTTGTTACAATTTCTGTATAGTTACTATATGTTTTTCTAAATTCACTCGACTAACCGAACCATTATCGCATTCTACAAATTTCATTAAGTGTTGATAGTTTATCTTTTGGTAGTCGATACCGATACGTCGATTATTATTCGGTTTTATCTTGTGTACTTACGAAACACGACAAGAATATATTATTGTTATCAACGTACAGTTCGTAATAGGCCTCTGGAATAAGTATCGAGGACTACTTTTAGTTTGGGGCGCGAATAACAACATAAATGGGCAATTTGCCCGTGGAAAAGTTTTCAAACTTCGCGTAGGAACGGTTCCAGCTGAAATTTGAAGGGCAACCGCACAACCGTGCATTGTGTATCCAAGTTTCTTAATCGAATTCACGAGGCAAGACCAGTTTAAGCCGGATTATTTCCTTCCTTAGTGTATAGGAACGCGTAAATAATACGAAATCAACTTCGCTCAAAAAATGCTCTTTCACAGACCTTTACACTGGAGTAAAAAATTTATCATGAAACATTACTACGTTCGTATGAAATTCTCTACTTTGCTACCACTTTTACGTGAAAAATATATAAAAATGTGGTTCACGAAATAGGTTCTTACTGTCTCCATCGTTAAAAATAAGAAAAGAAACTTCGAAAAGGACATGGGTCATTTTGAAATTTTGAATTGGTAACCGAGCCGACGATAATTAAATAAATCACAATGAACAACACTGCTTGCCACACACGTTTAGAATAATTTTCAAATGAAAACAATTAGGCGTACCGATTGTCCCTGCATAATAAGCAGCACTGGTGTTCACAGGTGACGGATGATCCTTTTCGTAGCTAGTTCACCTGCGTGTCCCGATCATTTCTAACTCCTGGCGTTCTCACTAGGTATTATGCAATGCCTCGCCTCCGTTTAACGCTGATCTATCTGGCGCAGGTCTTGGTTCTCGAGGATTTTGCGCTGTTCACCGGGCGACGTCTGAGAGCGGACTGACTGGCGCCGGGAGGCTTCCACACCGGCCGATAACATTATGTTCGAGTAGAGAGTTCCACGTGAGGAAAACTGACGAGTGTCAAGTATGTAAATGTAAAAAAACGGTTGAGTCAGCTCCTATATGAATCAATTAAATCTGATCTTGAATTATTCTTCAATGGTGGTATGAGTTGGGTCTAGGTCACGTTTGGATTAAATCATTCTTCGATCCTCCTGGGATTAGGTCTCGAGGGAAGTTTATAATAATCGAGAGATAATGTGACTTTTCCTTTTTGTAGAAAATTCGTCCAGTATTCGTGTATGCATTCGGCATAGTAATTATGGGGGAATCTTTATAGTCCACTGGGTACCATTATACGTTCAGTTCAGCTTTGACAGTTGTTACAGTGTTTAATACACAGCTTTCTGCCTCCGTGAGTACTTGCTTTGAAGCTTTCAAGAACTAAGATTAATCCCTGTATACTGATAATAACAATAAATGACCAGAACATTATTAAAATCGCACTTCATTATAATGATTGGCACTGGGTCTCGTCGTCCGGATCCCGCTTAGTTCACTTTGGACAGTTCTTATAACGTTATGCCGATAGCTTTCGGCTTGACCAAACATTAGATTTGAAGCTGAAAAAATGTAGATTAAACCCAGCATATTGTTAATAACAATAAATGACCAGAACACTGTAAAAATCGCATTTAATCGCGGAATACCACTATTTTTTTGACTGGTGGCGCCACCCGTGGCGAATCGCTCAAACTGCTAGCCAAATTATACCGACAGGTAAGTGAAAATTTCTACAATTGGAAAAACGCAAATATCTCAGTAATTAGACGTTTAAAATGAACGTTGTTGGTATCAACTTATTCCTGACAAACCAATGCATCGAATCAATCCCGCAAATATCCAGAATTAGAAGTATTATGTATGCATCTGTAATCACATGTCCTTACGGAGATAGCAGTACATACATGTTACTCCAACATGATTCAATCGCATTTATATGATTAAACGAATGCCGTATTTCTCCCTCCAGCACTGGATTTGAAGCTTAAAGAACGTAGAATAATACCCTTTACTGATTGATAAGCAACAATCACACGAACAGTGTGAAAATCACAATTGTTTGTAATAGTTGTTAGTGAGTATCGTCATGCATACCCCGTTTAATCCACTTTGGATAGCTCTTATACCATTATGCGGATAGCTATCGTCTTGACCAAGCATTACATTTGAAGCTTAAAGAACATAGATTAATCTTTGTATATTGATAATAACAATAAATAACCAGAACACGGTTAAAATCGCATTTAATCGCGGAATACCACTATTTTTTTGACCGATGGCGCCGCCCGTGGCAAATTGCTCAAACTGCTAGCCAAATTGTACCGACAAGTAAGTGAAAATTTTTGAAGTTGGAAAACCGCGAATATTTCAGTAATTAAGAGTTCAAAATGACCGTCGTTAGTCTCAAATTATTCCTGAAGACTTAATGTATCGACCCAATACTTCAGGACCCCGGAATTAGTAAAATTATTTAGGTCTGAATTAACAAAGACCCTTATGGAGCGGCAACCTTAATTGCAAAAGCATGCGATCACATTTACACTGCTGAATTGGCATCATTTTTCTTCGTCACGCATTAGATTCGATACTCAAGGAACGTCGATTACTTCTGTCTAGCTGCTGGGAACCAGTAATTACAGGAACATTGTTAAAATCACATTTGTTTGACACGGTTGACACTGTATCTCGTCATGCGTTCCCCGTTTAGTTCACTTTGGACAACTCTTCCAACATTATGCTAACAGCTTCCGTCTTGACTAAGCATTCAGATTGAAGCTCAAAGAACGTAGATTAGTACTTTCTAGCAGCCGGGAACCAGTAATTACAGGAACACTGTTAAAATCACATTTGTTTCCAACGGTTGAAACTGTATCTCGTCACGTGTACCCCGTTTAGTTGACTTTCAACAACTCTTCCAATGTTATGCTGACATCTTTTGTCTTCACTAAGCATTCAGATTGAAGCTCAAAGAACGTAGATTAATCCTCTGTCAATAACAATAAGATTAAACGACCAGAACACTGTCAAAATTGCATTTAATCGCGGAATACCACTATTTTTTTGACTGGTGGCGCCACCCGTGGTGAATCGCTGAAACTACTAGCCAATTCTAGGCTAGCAGTTTGAGCGATTCGCCACGGGTGGCGCCACCGGTCAAAAAAATAGTGGTAATCCGCGATTAAATGCGATTTTAACAGTGTTCTCGTCGTTTATTGTTATTGACAATATACGGGGATTAATCTACGTTCTTTAAGCTTCAAATCAAATGCTTGTTCAAGACGATAGCTGTCCACATAATGGTATAAGAGCTATCCAAAGTGGACTAAACGGGGTATGCATGACGATACTCACTAACAACTATTACAAATAATTGTGATTTTCACACTGTTCGTGTGATTATTGGTTATCAATGAGTAAAGGGTATTATTCTACGTTCTTTAAGTTTGCAATCTAGTGCTGGAGCAAGAAATCCGGCGTTCGTTTAATTATGTAAATTCGATTGAATCATGTTGGAGTAATATGTATGTATTCACTGCTATCTCCGTAAGGTCATGTCACAACAGATGCATACATAATTCTTCCAATTTTGGGTGTTTGCGGTATTGAGTCGACGCATTTCGTCGTCAGTAATAATTTGAGACTAACAACGTTCATTTTTCAATGTCTTTTGCTTTACAGATCGTAGCTCGAAGCTTGTTATTCTTTTTTACAATATCTTCGTCCGCTGATGGAGAATATTTTTAATCAGCTGAAAACCTTGCTGAAACGTTCTTGGATTTTTAGCTATAAAACCAGTATGTTTCTACAGCCAAGAGGTAACAAATGCAACGTCAGCGATCAATAAGAGAACGCGTTTTTTCAACCGCGTAAGAGGTAACAATGATTAGATCTTAAAGCTATGGTTCCAGAGGGATTGCATTCCTCGAGGAAGAATCGTACAATTCACCACGAAGAAAAAAAATTGTGCAATTTTCACTATTCTTTATCAATTTCATTAACTATCTTTCTGGTTCGCTGAATTACTAGGCAGAGAATCGATAATCGTCCGCAATGCATCCAAACCCGAAATATAGTAATCGGGCCGCAGTTCATCGTCCCGTATCGCGTCTTCTATCGTGTCGAGGCCAGTCTCCACGAAAAGCTTCTGGAATCCGCTCATGGTCGCGAATTTCATGTCCATAAGTATCCTGAAATGTATCAGTCAAGTAGTCGAACTCGCAGATCGACGTTCACGATCGATTCGAACACGTTTTGAAACTATTATTGTATGATGTGGATGGCTGATTTTTTTATGAAAAGATGCTCAATGTGAGGAAACATAGCAGACAGCATGACGCCTAGTGACGCCTTGAAGACGGCTTACAGGCGCCTTAGACCTTAAATAGTCGTAAAATGAATATCTCCAAGGCGTCATGTGCTATCTGGGATAGGAGTGAGTTGAATACATACATGGGAGGGAGAAGTGGATAGCAATAAGGACTCTAAAACCCTTATGGTAATCTCTAGAATTGTTGTTTATGTTTGCCCTAAAACAGTTTTAAGAGAATCGACTCACGTGTCGCCGATGAACAGACATCGTTTGGGCTCCTTTACATTGCATAACTCGAGAACGTGTTCTTTCAAAACGTTGCTGGGTTTTGCGCACTCGATTGGCGTCCTTCCGCTTTGCTTGGTGATTATATTAATTAACGGTCCAGGACCTGACAGTCGAACGATTATCATAGAATTTCAAGAAAATCCATTTTCTCGAATCGCGAGAAAATTAATATTTTCATTTCTGAATACTAAATTATTGTACCTAAATTATTGTACCTAAAAGGAAACTTCGCTGTGAAAAATTGATCGATTTACCTAGGATTTTCTTGTCGTTACCACAGACTACCCAATCGTCCTGTGCACCGGTCAGGTACAAAACGTCGTCGTTCTTTAGACAGGATATAGCCAGAGCCATTTTTGCCCAGTTGCATTCCAGCGAAAAGTCGACGATGATAGCTTTGATCGATCGCACATTCAACACGGCTTTCACTATCGCTTGTGCGTCGTCATCCGGGACCGATGGATACTAGAAGAATAATAGAATATCAATTCCTTTCTTGTTTTTCTTTCTCCTTTATCCGAATTTGAAGGTTCACGCACGTTTTCCGGCGTCATTCTGATACCAGCATCGCGCAGAGTCTCACGAAACGCCGGGCTGGCAATCACATATGCCTCGTCGCGGAAATTGATTTTCTTCAGATACCAGGCGATCACTGTCGACGGGCTTATCATTTGTTCCTGCGAAACGATCGATCGTGTCATATCAATAATCACAAACGAAGTCGATAATCACGATTCCGAATCATTCTTGTAAGCCTAAATCCCAGAATAATTCATACTTTTTCGTATTTATGTAATAAATTAAATAATGTAAATATTCGTAGAATATATTAAAATAAATAAAATGAAAATATGCAATTGTTAAAATATATTAAACGTTCAAATAGCCTGACGTTTGGGAATCTCGTATACTTGACTCAAATTACCGATTCGTAGATTATCGCAAAAGTGTGATAATAAAGATAAGAAAAAACGACTAAACTTGGTGATGTTCGTGTTTCTTATCTGAGTATCTGTATCAATTTAGACGAGAGAGTATTAAATGAGAAATCGTTTTGAGCTAGTCTTCCTCCAGGTCGTAAATATTACCTCGAGGCTTTGTTGACTGATACACAAAAATGTTGGATAATAAAACAGAAAGATTCGGATCGAATTCGAAAATGCAAAGTAATATTTTACCGGTTTCAATTCCAGGCCACCTGATCTCACTTTCTCGTTGTATCGATCGAAACTCGTCGTGCTGTTATTCGACACTAGGTAAACCCTCTTGCCCAGGTCCTGAAGCCTCTTCAGTGTCTCGATGGCCCCATTAATCGGTCTGTCGACGTACCACAGGACACCTGAGGAAAAAATCAGAGCATTTCCATCAATTATGCGGATTCAAGTTTCCGTGAATCGAGCCTAATATCCGGTCTACGCGAACGATTCTGTCGATTTCGTGAGACGAAACGTCGACGTTTGCATTCGATACTTGAAAATTTCATGAATTCATGTATCTATATCTACTATAAATTACCTGATAGACATGTACCTGCATTATATGATACGTGTAAGATATAATCAGTAGATTACTTTATTATGTACATTCTAATGCATTGTATTATTCAGTTTAAATATTTTGTGTATCACCAATATACGTTGGTATCTCTAGGTACATTGGAGACAAGTGACACTGAATGCAAATACACGTAAATTACACACAACGTTATCGTGTCTGATGGTCCAACCGTAAAGTTCGCGATTCTACATAGAAAACTGACATTGAAAATGTAAAACTTAAGATTTCTCTTTGGAACATGGACGTTGTTTCGCGACGAAAACAAACTTGACGCGTGATCTCGATCTGTCTGCTCATTGCTGACTGTTTCCACTTCAAATGGGAACACCGTTAACACATCTTCAATAAAATCGATCGATCGATTCATAGATCATATAATAATCCCTACCACGGCCAACATTTATAAACAAACATTACACACACTCATTTATATAATAAAATCTTTAAACATCAGTCTTTCCAATGGACTACTAATTCTTTATTCTCCTCCTGTAGAGTTGGGCACAATTTGATTTGAATAATATACAGTCGGAAGTTGCAGTATCCCTTCTGAACTTAAATAGTTAATAATAATTACAAACTTTGGAATTTCCAAAGTATCGTAATCTAGGATTAACACTTGGTTTACGGACATTTCTTGTATACCTATCTCTACGGACACGAGTCAACGAAACCGCAGATTTTCTTTAAGAAACAACTTATTTTATTTAATATTCAATTCACGATCGAGTCAAATTGATGTGTGTCTATAAAGATAGGTATACCAAATACAGTAAATTCGAAAACAGAAGGCGTTCGAAATTACGCGTCTCGTAAATCTAGTGTTAAAAAAAGTACTCGAAACACCATTCACACCACAAATTCATTCCACAGCACACCATGTAACATATGATCGTAGATGCACTTCATCAAAGTTTCCTCGTCGTGATCGACAGACGACGTTTGTCTCAGTTCTCAAGAATAAAGAAAACAAAAACTCGCCATCGCAATCGGACAGGACGACGTCGAACGATTCGATGAAATCACGGGCCTGTTCCACGGTCATCTCGGACAGATTCCTCGTGTTCTGCATCGTGGCAAAGGCACCAACACGTCCGCCGAGTTCGTCGCAGACGTTGCAGTCCCTGTGGTTCCGCATCGTGACGGAGGTCATGCACCTGGACGGGACAGATGCAAGCGATCGAGCACCGAGCCACCGATACGTCTCGACTGACACCGTTGCTCGCCGCGACGACGAGTCCAATTGTATCCCCGGTTTGATAACATCGCTGATAAACGATGACGCAACTGCATCACCTCCGTGCACGATTTTTCCATTTGTATTTCTTTTTTTTCGTAAAAAGGACCGACACACCACGTCTGCCGCTTGGCCCGAGGAAGGAGCTCCGTGTGACGTACCAGCGAAGCTTCCGTGGATGGCACTGCGCAGGCTCGGTCCGTATTGAATGTAGGTATTTATGCACCTGGGTATGGGTAATAAAATATTCCATTTCGAAAACAGGGAAACTTTAAGGATGTACCGGACATTAGAATCTTACAAGAAAAGCCATGGAAGTGTGCCCCTCTGATTTTTATGAAACTTTGTATGTCTGTTAAACACTCAAAAATAAGGGATACGTCTTTTTTTTTAATCGTCTGAGAAGCGACTTTAAGGGGTGAAACCACCCCTCGAAGTTTCGATCCGAAAATTTTTTGTTATAGTAAATTATATTTTGGACAATTTGTTAGCACCATATTATTTTACATAAAAAACCACAAACCTCGTACATTAGAAGTTTTCATGTATCTCCTCTGGTTTTCGACATAGTACTTTCGGGTCGAAACTTCGAAGAGGGGTTTCTCCCTCTCGAAGGGGGACTCTTAAAGTCGTGTCTCAGCCGATAAAAAAAATACGTATCCCTTATTCTTGACTGTTTAACAGACATACGAAGTTTCATCAAAATCGGATGGGGACACTTTCGTGCCTTCCCTTGATAGACAAAAGTGCATGGAATTTGAAATGAAACAAATATTGCAATTGGTACCACTTCTTCAACATTTTGTCAACTATTTTATGTCCGTTGAGATCGTTTCTTTATATAAGACTGCGTGTAAAATCGGGAAACATTGAAATTATTATTAATCACCAACCGTTTAGTGCTGGGGTGGCAAATCAGTGGCACGCGTGTCAAGCTTGTCACGGAAAATGGTTTTCATGGCACGCGGACGTATGCAAAACTCACCTCCGCTTATCGTAGATAGTATACATTGAATTTATATTCGGTTAATTTCATTATATGTACTTATCTGTGTGTATCCCTTCTACATAGGGGCCAAAATATGGCTTGGGCAAAAAATCTCAATAAATTTCGCCATAGATCAAATCTTATTTGCAGTTAAAATCGTTCGTTGTTGCCATCTATTAGTTAATAATATTCAGGCTTCCGTCTAATATTCTTGTAAATATTCTGAATAAATGATATTGCTTTCAGGGCAATATCGGTGCAATTTGAATAAACGATTATGAATATCGGTAGATCTCCAAGACACGAAGGTCTCGAAGTTTAACAATTTATCATATCACTATCTTTTTTCGAACGGTTCCAAGTTCCAACGACTAATATATTCAAGACTTTAAAATAGACGCGAACTTAACAATTCACCATTGGTTTTATCGCGAAAAAAGATATTCTTTTTTGTGATCCGAACAAAACGACCGCCAGGTTTAACTGGAATAAGTATACTTAGAACTCTGGTGAGGCTTCGAAGATTACTGATTCTGTTACGAAAAAAAAAAGAAGAAGAAGAAGAAACGGATGTCACGACCTCGGGCGCCATGAATCGGTCTTTCGAACAATGGTCAAGATGCAGTCGATAAATCAGACCGATATAGACCGAATGGTGGTACGATAAGGAGACGAAATAACGAAGCTACGTTGTGTGTTCATGTTTGCACATATGTATATAGTAGATCTGGCCTATAAGAGGAACCATTCAAGCACATCTCGACACTTGTCTCTGGAAATGTTAAACATTTGTCGAAAGATTAGAAAATTGCAGTGTTGGGAAAATCCTATGCTATAATTCAACGCCATTCAACTCCTGTGACAAAGACTTAGACATCAAAGCCGAGTCTGTCGAGTGATGATATTTACTTACGAAAATTGCATATTTATACGTGTTGATTACGCATGTCTGCAGATTGCGATATCTGTAACAATGTATAAATCATAAATTATATTTCACGACACGTTCCTGTTACAAATCATTGATCATACAGCGACGCATATGTGTATATTCAAAATAGTAAATTTCATTTTATTTTGTTTTGTTTCAAATAAACAATACCAACGGTGGTATTTATGACGCCGTTATAAATTACGATAAATGAAAGTAGTGAAAGTGAGCTGACATTTAAGAAATGTAGAATTATTATACTTATTGGTTGTGTGAAAAAACGTTTCAAACGAATTATGTCGGATTCGAGGGGCTTGTCAAGTGGATGTAATTTATTTTTTTGTTTTAAATCTCATATTTTCTGAGATTTCAAGGTAACCTTGAGTTTTTTCAAGGACAATGCATTTCTTTGTTAACGTTGCGTTGTAGCCGTTAGAAAGACGAATTCAACGATCTATACTAAAGTCTAGGGGTAAAAAATTCACTGATCTTGAAGAAAACCCGAGGTTACGTTTGTGACCGTACATATGTATCCGTATGCACGCACATAATCGTAAGAAACAACGTACGACAGGCGGAAGAATCCACGAGCATGAGCGACGTAAGAGCAACTGACGCGATCATAGCATATGCGTGCGCAGAGATCCCCTCTAGATCTAAATCAAAGGAGGTCGATGCGAGATTCTCGTCGATACTCACTCTGCGTCTGGAAGCGATCCAGTACAGTCGTGTTTAGTATCAAGAGTTCGTTAGGCGAGAAACGGTACGTTAGTTGAGAAGTCAAGCCGACTTGGTGTGTGAAGCAAACCGACTTCACCATCCTCACGCGTACGCGCCTCAAACCGAGGAGTCACATATGCAAACCGCATTGTGGCGCAGCTAAGACGGAACAGACAGTAAAGACAGACTACTAGGACGATACAACGCAGTAGTCACAACCGTATTATAAATTCACTTACCATTTAATCACTCCATTTAACTTTTCGTATACTTAAATTCAAACATAAAATCTACAAGACTCACAAGTTACTACTTACGTAGTGTATTCTGAAGTTCGAGACGCGTACAGTGACGCGAATAAAAAGAAAATCCATCTGTGAACAAATTGCGTGAAGATCGGCAATCTTCTTTAGACAATCAGCGTCGGCTTGACTTGTTAACTGAGGCGCTCGCCCGACGAATATTTTAAGCTATAGCAGCCGATGCTATAGTTTCGGCATTCGACAAGAACGTGTAGAATTCACGAGTTGAGTAAGTAGGAAGGACGGACTGATCGAGTACACGTTCAGTCGTTGCCCATCCGGACTAAATTACTCAGAACTGTGAATACGGTTAGCTTAGGGGCATAAGCACGATCAACGTCTGTCAACCTAGTACAGGAAAGAAGTGCAGGGACCACGTGCGCGTGTACCTCACCCACGTCTTTTGTACGGTAGTCAGACGGGGTTTTGTGTGCGTCTCCACCCGAGAAGTCGACCCGATTTATCGGCGAGATCATCGGCTGCTGCGACATAAATCAAGGCTCTCCAGCTAGGACCTGTGTAACCCCGCGTACCGAAACCGTAGCATTGCGAGCGTGTGTCGAGCACAACTTTGTGTGCGTGAATTGAAATCGATCGGGATACGATCCATAGAAACATCCATCGCGAGACTATACGAATTACGACCGTGTTCCTATCGGCTAGAAACGCTCGTTGCGATACCATAATTGTAATCCGACAAAGACGTTATAGAATATAGTATTCTCTTACCAGATTCTGCCTACGATTTTCTAACGTTACCACCACACTCACTGTCCTTCTTGTGCTTAAAGGCACGAATCCTGCCTTTCTTCTGTGTTCGATCGAATCTTTGGAACGACATTAGGAAGTAGAGTATCCGCCCTTCGGATCAGGCACACTATTTAGTTAGATCGATAGAAAAGACGAAAAAGTACGGTTACACGTTGATATAACAGAAAATATAAAATATGAAAAAATCAATGTGCATCCAGTCGATGAGTCCCTTTAAGTGCAACATTTAAACGCATTTGAAACATTTTTTGACACAACGAATAGATAACGAGTTATTTCAGATAATACTTCTAATTCACTTACCCTGCATATCTTGCACACTCGAACGTGTACTTTAGCCGCATAAATGTCGGCGGTCTAGTGATAGAAAATATTAAAAATAGATTAATTAACACGAGAACAAAGGAACGTGTACTGCAATTACCATGAAATATGGCCCTCGATGAATCGGAACATTGTGAAAACAGAACGTTTCCGCATCTTCCGAAGAATCGTGAATTCTTTCGTGTGTGGATCCATGCTGAAAACTGAGGAGAAACGCGGTGGAATAACCGTGGAACGCATTTGGGTTAATAGAATTTCAATTTATTAAGTTTTTTTTTCCCTAGCCGTCAGTGTCTTGATTCTCATTTACAAAGGTATTATATGACTGTAGAGTGGTAGTTAACTAATAATCGACGATGGTAGTAATCAATAATAACCATAATCATAATAGCTCGCAATAATAATCATAATCATAATAATAAGAAGAAGATAATTCGTAATTAATTGTATTAATCGAAATCGTATCATTATAATCGTCGTCTCTGTCCTCTATCCGACATGTGTATGGTGTATATGCATGTATGTATGTGTGTATGTGTGTGTGTGTGTGTGTTAGTCCGCTCATCCGACGATGACGAGCCGCGCGTATGACTCGACGTAAGAAACCATCGAAAGAAAGAAAACAACGAAAGGACAGAGAGAAAAGATCCGAACGGGTGTTCAACAACGGTGTAAAAAACTACATGACTGTCGAACGTTAAAAAATTAAACTCGTAACTCGTTTACCGTGACTAGAAAATCAATCTCCCTTATTACAACTTCTTTACACGGTGGTTAATACCGTACAATTATTCGTAGGCGAAGGGGCGGGTCCAGCGGCCGCGCTGATGGGGGAAAGGCGGGAAGCGTTAGACCGTTTGAAAAAAAAAAAGAAGGATTAAACACGAACTGATTGAGAATCGTCGAAGAAACAATCGAACATAAGCTTTTATCTACCCCCGTGTAATTCTGAAGATGGAGGTAGAGAAGAAATTGCTTT